AATAGCCAAGACTTCCGCTTAGAAAACCGTGGCTAACTTACCCAGAAAGAAAAACTCTCTGTGATTGTTTCCTAGACCTGCTCCAAAGCGGTCGTTTGCTCCAGATCCATCGGTGAACCACGCATCTATAATCGGTTAGATCTGTAGGTTTTTATTACTTCATTCAGCTCTAATAGACAGGTTTATAGAAAACGCCTTGTTCACTTGGTATATCCTGGGTATTTTGTCTTGTTTCAGTGTGAAGAGAGATTTCTGGAGAAACCCGAGCTCGGTATGATCTATCCCGAATTGTCTCCACTTTTCCTGACACTTTAGTCTATACGCTGTGAGTCTGGCGGCGCTAACTACTTGATGGTTTAACGGACGAATACAGACCTCTGTTGATGTTGTTCTCATAGCACCTGCCGCAGTCCTTAGGCCCTTAGATAGTTACTTTGTAGGTTTTGTAACAGGTTTCTTGTTTCCGTTTTTTCTACTCTGGACCACCAAACCACAGCAGCATATGTTAGTCTCAATAACAATACCGATTTGTATATCCGTAGAGCAACATTTAATTTAATGCCTCAGGACTTTCCCATTACTCTTTACACGCACAAAAAGAAGCGTAAAATTTGGATCTCTTTATTTCGAGATGTGTTCTCCAGCTCAGTTTGGTGTCTAGATAGACTCCCAAATATTTAACTGACTGAACGTATTCTATTTCCTCATGCCAGTACCTTAACGGTTCAATGGCCTCAGGTTTATATTTCCTTGTAAAAATTATGGCCTTGATCTTTGATAGATTAGCCCTAAGTCCTTTTGATTGACACCAGTTTTGCGTAAACATAAGTGCTTTTTCCATTATATCTTATCGCAAGAAAGTTGCCCTCTACCACTATGGCAACATCATAAACGTAGCCATAGACGAAGAAGCCTGCCTCCCGCAACTTCTCAAGAAGTTCATCCACCACTAGATACCAGAGTAAGGGAGATAGTACTCCTCCTTGTGGACAACTTTTGGCGGGAAAGCCATGCACCACCGAGTCCCCATAACTAGCAGTCAAAGTTCTTCCTGTAAGCATGCTTTGTATCCAGTCCGCTAACGCGGCTGGAATGCCACGCATGGTCATAGCCTTCCCGATCACATCATAAAAGGTGCTATCAAAAGCTCCCTTGATGTCCAGGAATACGCCCAAGGCATATTTCCTTGCCCTCAGCTGTGCCTTAACTCTGCCCACGAGATGGTGCAGGGCAGTATCAGATGATCTGCCCTTTCTGTAAGCATATTGAGAGGAGTCTAGTGGATTTGTACGCAAGGGGCCATTTTTCAGGAACTTATCACTCAACTTTTCCGACGTCTTAAGAACCAAAGAAGTAAGATTGATAAGCCTGAAGTCTTTGGCTAATATATAGCCATTTCTGCTAGGCTTGGGTATGAAAACGACTCTCGTTCCACTCCAAGTCTGAGGAACATGTCTTAGGCAATAATTGCTCTAAAGACTTTTGTAAGTGGACCAATTAGGACCTCCAGACCCTCCTGAAGGAGAATCGGGTAGATTCCATCCGGTCCCGGTGATTTATAGGGATTGAAGGTCTTAACAGCCCATGCAACTCCCCTCGGGTAAACAACCTTTGCTGCTAAATGTCACTGCCTGGGCTTATACTCCCTGAGCTTTAGCCGACTATGTTGTTTTTTAATGTTAATACCTGGGAAGTGGACATCCATCAAATGTTTTAGAGTTTCCAATGCTTCCTCAGTAATGTTCCCCGTTGGAAGCTTGAGACAGCTCAACTGAGGACGATGATCTAAACTGAGGACTCTGCAAAGTCTGGATGCTTTCGGGGCGCTCTCAATACCTTCGCAGAAATGTCTCTAGTGTTTCCGCTTCGCTTTCGTGAGTGCCTTGCTATATTCTCGTTGGGAGCTTCTAAAAGCTTCCCAGTAAGCCGCAAGGCCGGTTCTTTTTGCTTTATTGAATTTCTTTCTTGTTTCTGACTTGAGCTTTTCAAGCTCATTATTCCACCATTGGATCTTGGTCACTGGCTTTCTTGGTTTTGACAAGCAGTTTCATTCGTAGGCATTTACAAGGCGTTCTTTAAGTAGTCCGCCACGTCTTCTAAATTTTTTTTAAACCTGTAGCTAGGTGGGGCTCTAGCAAGCCGGGCCTTAAGGTAAGCCCTGAAGCCGTCCCAATTAGTTTTTTTGGGGTTGGGAGCCCAGCTTATCGGCGGGGAGTATTGAAAAGTTAGACGTATTTGTCTGTAATCGGATCTCGAAGCTTCATTGGAGACCTTCCAGTCTCTCACCAGACCCGCCACTTTCTCCGTATTCACCGTCATATCAAAAAAGGCGCCAAGTACATGCGCAACTCGTATCTCTAGAAAAAGTATTACTATCAAAATCTTCCTTTACAAGATCTATTCTACAAAAGAAATTATATCAATAAGTTACGCCAAGTAAAATCTTTTATACATAGTTACAAAAATATATATAAAATATATAAAACTTTGTAAGTTGTTTATACGTTGTAAAATAGAAAATATTAGTAGTTAAGATAGAGGGGTTCTGCTCCA